CGAAGGTCTTTCCCTTCCCCGTTCTGTTACCCCAAACTCTGTTATGTGGAGGTTCTGATGTTCAACCTGGGACCTTAAGCCTGGCCAGTAGGTGTTCCGTCCCTGAACTGTGGTCCACCCTGACCTGCCCAAGATAGCATTTGTACAACTATACTATGATTAAGTGTGAACAAATGCTTCTCTTTGCAGGCTTCTGTTCTACAAGCACTCTCCTATCTTCAAATGGTTCATAAATTGCCAGGAAGCAGATATGACACACCAAAGTGGAAAGACGATATTTAAAAAAATAATTTTTTGGGCTCCCCCTCCCCTTTTACAAAAGGCTTGCCTTCAAAATGGAAAAGCAGAAAGGCAGAAGGTTTCTAAGAAGAAGAGGAGGAGATTGGATTTATACCCCACCCTTCACTACCCAAGGGAGTCTCAGAGCGGCTTACAAACTCCTTTCCTTTCCCCTCCCAACAACAGACACCCTGTGAGGTAGGTGGGGATGAGGGAGCTCTTGACAGAAACTGCTCTTTTTCAAGGACAGCTATGCCAGGACTATGGCTTGCCCAAGGTTATCCAGCAGGTGCGAGTGGAGGAGTGGGGAATCAAACCCATTTCTCCCAGATTAGAGTCCGCACACTTAACCACTACGCCAAAAAGGCTCTCACACCAAACTGGCTTTTGAATGCTTTGAAATGTGCCTTCTCCTGGGAAATCAGCAGTAAACGCTTGTAATCACGCTTCCTTCCCATCGAACTCAATGGTACCCAAGTCAGCCCTGATTTCCAGAAGGCTTAGGGCCAACTACCTTTCTCTAGGTTTGTGATGGATCTTCAAGAGAGTTCTCTGATCTTAAGCAGACCCCACTGCAGTCTCTAGCCAAATGACATGGCGAGGCCGACTGCTAGACAACATTTAGCAAAATGTCATCACGTCTGCACGTTCTGCACAACTGTAACATTAGGCTGAGGAATACGTACTTATCCTGCAGTCCGGGCCTGCAAAACCTGGAGCGCACTCACATCTGTACCAATTGTCACCGTCCACACAGGTTCCACTATTATAGCTTAGGAAGAAAGAGAAGGGGGGGGGAGATATATATTTACTCGACTGAGCCTATTAAATGGAGTTGTTTTTAAAGCTCTTCTACAAATCATACACCCTCAAAATTAGCCAATATTGCCACTTTAAACTAGATGCGGCATGCCAGCTGTTCTATTTAATTTTAATAACTACTTAGATGCACTCTTGATGGAAACGGGCTTAGCTGATCAACTCGTATATTCACGGGGAGAGGTGGAGAAGAGCTAAATAAAGAGGAAGCTAAAAGCCAGACTTGGGAACTGTCAAACCGATTCTTCAGAGGAGGAACATTAAAGTGATCCATTTATTTCGTTTCTGCATTTTTCCCTCCCCACCCAAGCCTCCCACATTCTCTCTGTCAGAACGGTTCCTCTGTAAACAATAACCGTTTCAAACATTTATTGCTGGCAAAGACACCATTTCTAACACATGAGATGCTCAGCAGGCATGCAATAAGAGTTCACGGCCGTCTCCCAGGTCGTGTTGCTTACCAAGGGTGCGGGCTACAGTCGTTGGTATCTGCGGGGACAGAAAGAACAAAGAGATGCCCATGTTAAATCACAGCACCATAGCCGACTTCGAAATCCCAGACAAGCCACCAGATTTGCCACCCTGTTCTACAGCTTCCTTTCCAAACAGACTTTCAGCTATAAAGCAGAAACGTCAGCCACCGGAAGACAATTCTTGTGAAGAATTCTCATCAGGAAGAAAAAGTGAACAGAACCAGACTGGGCAGCTGCTTGTGAGAAAAAGGAGAGAGAGAGAGAGAAACCCAGCCTGGCTGGGGAACAGGTAGCTGCCCCAGCAGGGCAACATCTGTCTCCACTTATCTCCTTTGCAACTTTCTCATGCCCAGGTCAAAGCTCCAGCCCTGCAGTGTCACGAAAGCCAAACAAGACAGGTGATGCTCCAGCCCTGCCGCCAAACAACTTCCCCCTTCTGGCTTCAATCTCCGATTCCCACGGGCACCCAGATGAGCCAGTCCTCTCATCGAACGCCATCTGACAAGAGTTTGGGAGGACACAGAGAGAGAGGGAGACAGAGAGAGAGGGAGGGAGAGACAGCGAGAGGGAGGGAGAGACAGCGAGAGAGGGAGGGAGAGAGAAAGGACTTACTCTGAGTGCATGTGGGCCCTTCCCAGCCCTCCTTGCAGACGCACGTAAAGGAATCTCCGCTGACGACACACGTCCCACCGTTGTGACAGGGGCTTGGCAGGCAGCTGCTGTTTCTCGCTGCAAGAGAAGGAGGAGTCCGTGAGGAACAAAATGTCTGCTGCCAAGCTGTGGGTTTTTTTGTTTTTGAGGAGGAGGCGGAAGAAACGGGGATCATCCACTCATTTACCGATGTTGCAGGTGGCTCCTTCCCACCCGGCGGGACACATGCATTTGAAGGCATCCCCTTCGTCGTAACAGGTCCCTCCGTTGTTGCACGTGGCTTCGTCACACTGGCTATCACCTGCAAAAGGTCAGAACCAGGAAAGTAACACCTGTCGGGATTAGGAGAACCCCTTGCCCGGTCCCGTAGGAGTTTTCTCCTGGCTCATCCTGTGGATGCACATTTACACCAATGGTGCCATTTTATTTCTTTTCATTAATCCCTGCTTTTCTCTCCAATGGGGCCCCCAAAGGGGCTTGCCTCATTCTCATGAAGCTGCTGGTCTATACGGAATCAGACCGTCTGTCTGTCATGCTCGGTACATTCTACTCTGACTGGCAGCGGCTCTCCAGGGTCTCAGGCAGAAAAAGGTCTTTCCCATCACCTGCTGCCTGTTCTTCTCCAACTGGAGATGCTGCCGGGGATTGGGCTGGAGCATCTAACTGGAGATGCCGGGGATTGAGCCGGGGACCTTCTGCATGCCAGGCAGAGGCTCTTCCCCTGAGCCACAGCCCCTCTTTACCGCTCTCCAGGGTCTCAGGCAGAGGTCTTTCCTATCACCTCCTGCCTGGTCCTTTTTAACTGGAGATGCTGCCGGGGATTGGGCTGGAGCATCTAACTGGAGATGCCGGGGATTGAGCCGGGGACCTTCTGCATGCCAGGCAGAGGCTCTTCCCCTGAGCCACAGCCCCTCTTTACCGCTCTCCAGGGTCTCAGGCAGAGGTCTTTCCTATCACCTCCTGCCTGGTCCTTTTTAACTGGAGATGCTGCCGGGGATTGGGCTGGAGCATCTAACTGGAGATGCCGGGGATTGAGCCGGGGACCTTCTGCATGCCAGGCAGAGGCTCTTCCCCTGAGCCACAGCCCCTCTTTACCGCTCTCCAGGGTCTCAGGCAGAGGTCTTTCCTATCACCTCCTGCCTGGTCCTTTTTAACTGGAGATGCTGCCAGGGACTGAACCTGGGACCTTCAGGCTGAGAGTGGGTGACTGGCCTGAGGTCACCTAGGCATGTGGATTAATTGCACTGCCTTGTGGGAACTGTAGTTTTTGCTCAGGATTGCATGGAGAAGAGAAGCTGTAGCACAAGCAGGTGCTGCGGCCCCCATGGTATGGACGTTCCCCCCAACACACATACATTTTATTTGTTTAACCTGTTAAATTACATGTCTATTTTAAAAGTCAATGTAGTTCCACAAGAGTAAGGGATTAATATTAGTTCTGCACATATGGCTACAAGCCAGCTGGCTTTTCAAGCTCTTTCCTTGAGGATCGCCGGCCTTGCATGAACAGAAGCCTCTTTTACCGTTCTGCACCAGAAGGTTCTTACAGCTGGCTCTCAAAAGCAATCCGACGAATCCATGAAGGACTGTTTCCCCATCAATGGCTATCAGGCATGGTGACGAAATGAAACTTCCAAGTAATCCTCGGAATACCTGTGTTTGCGAGGGTGGGGGTGGGCGCCTTTGACTTTCGTGCTAATTGCCTGGTCATCTGGATGGTCAAGTGTCAGGAACAGGATTCTGGATTAGTCTGTCCCAGCACATCTGTGTGATGTTTTCTTATCAACACAGAGCACAGCCGATAAGAAAGCCGGGCCAAATGGGTGTATCAAACCAAGGAAACTGCAAATCTGGGGCACGATCCTGAAGGCAGGGCCAGGCTGGAAGGTCAGACTTTTTTTTTTAAACAAAGCACTCACGCGAATGGCAGGTTTTCCCTTTCCAGCCGTTTTTACATTCGCAGAAGAAGTCATTGACCAAGTCTTGACACGTCCCTCCATTGTGGCAAGGATTTTTACTGCAGTCATTAATATCTGGAAGGAACAGGAAAGACACGGAGCTTAGAGAAAGAAAAACACGGTCTGCAAGAGCGACGAACACTAGCAAGCCTGCCTTATCATCTCCAAGGCTGCTCAATCTCTCTTCTTGGCCTCTGGAGTTCCAGGCAGGGATTAAGTGTTTGACGGCCTTAATGCCATCACTGATGTTATCATGTTTATCCTGCACTGTACCCCACTGCTGAATTTCAGCTGTTCTTGCCAGCAAACACCTCTCCAGTTCCCCTGGAAACAAACATACCCACAAAGCAGAGAGCTAAAGAGGCCCTTATTACATAATTACGCTGCTTCAAGGCTAAAGGCTACTAGTTCAAACCCTCCTCTGCTTCCTTGAAGCACTGAACAAGGAAAAAGGAAGCATCTAAGGCAGATGAATTTAGAGAGGAAACAAACTCTCCATTCATATTGGGGTGCTTTTGTTGCCCTCAAGTCAGAGCTGATTTAAGGTGACCTCCGTGGGGTTTTCCAGGCAAGAGACGTTCAGAGGCGGGTTTGCCATTGCCCGCCTCCGCATCACGACCCTGGTATTCCTTGGAGGTCTCCCATCCAAACACTGACCAGGGCCAACCCTGCTTAGCTTCCGAGATCTGATGAGATCGGACTAGTCTGGCCCACCCAGGTCAGGGCCGGATTAGGTTAATGAACTCATAATTTAACACACGTAGACAAAGACACCCATGACCTAGAGATTTCTCCCAGTATGGCCTTCAGAATCTTTGCAATAGCATGTTCCGTTTCTGTAGAGGAATGTAACATCTGAATAAGTCGCAAAGATTTGAGAGCCCCCGCTGAGAGTATCTTCCAGTGACACCCTCAGTCAAGGAGGCTACTCCAGTTCTTAAATCACCTACTCCCTTTAGTAGTAGTGCTGATCTCAAATCACTGGAAACCAAAGTTTGCCTCCTTGTACAACAAGACAATGCTGTTTTGAGCAATCTTCTCTTTTAACAGGGCAAACACCGAAATGGCTTAATGAGCGCTGTTCTCCCCTTGACTCTGGGGTGAATAAAAGGCCAGTGGGCACTGCAACAGTAGTGAGAGAGCAAGGAATTATCCTGGGGAAAGCAAATGTTCTGGATGGCATTCTTGCTGTTCTACTGCCGTCCAACACGGCTGCCCTCTGAAACCCTTATTAAACGGGGATTAGATGTGTCGTAGAATGGAAGAGTCCCGGAGGGCGTCGTTATAACGGAACAGGACTGTAGTCCACTGCAATGATGAGGGTTGGTATCGCCCGCATAGGCCTTGTTAATCTACATTCCACACTGTTTATGGTGTACCAGGCCTTGACAAAATTTGGTGCCAGTCCAGAAATCTAGGAGCCAGGTTCAGTTTTCATCCTCCATGGTTTCATATGAATGACTACCTATTCTAATAACTGCTATGCCAAGTCCTAATCCTAAACTCTTCCGTTGCTCATGACTATTAAAGCTATGACAGAGGTATTTTAGTATACAAATAAAATATTGGGTAACCCCACTGGCCATCACCAAAACTAAAAGCCGAATTCTAACTCTAACCTAACCCCTCTCCGATTTCCCGTAATTCCACTATCGCTTTCAAAAGCTCCGTTTAACTGAGTATGGGAGCTGGTATAGAAAACAGATAACTTAGGAAATTAATTCATCTGCCACTGAATGGTGTAAAATGAAGCTTACACACATGCAAGCCGCTACAAGAGCTTCATGCACATTTAGTTTTACGTCCTATAATACACTGTGATGCAACATGATGAATTTGGGGTTGGATCCAGCCATCTTTTTGCTTAATCCCGGCCAATTCCTCTCCTTATCCCAGCTCCTGTATTACGTGATTGTTGTCCATGCAGGACACATGATCCCAAACATAGCCTTTTATGGTGGTCCTCCCGTTTCACCAGCGGAAGGGCTGGATCTGACCCTTCATATTTCCACTAAGAACTGCTGAAACACTACAATAAAGTAATTGCTGAAAATACCAGGTGCCAGAATGGAATTTCTAGGTGCCATGGTGACCTGGGCTTCATCAACCTCCCTTGCCTTAGCTTGTTCACATTTTTCTCTAATCCCGTAATCCTAGTCTTATTGCATTGTTCATTGGTTGCCTTGTGCTGTATGAATGCACTGTTTTTATATCCTGTAATCTGCCTTGAGTCTCAAAAAGAAAGGTGGACTATGAAGTAAATAAATAAAATATCCCGCCTGTTAAAAGTTCCCCTCTGCCCCAGTTAAGAGGCGGTGGGACCCTAATCCACCTCAAAATGGAGGACATTTGCGAGGATGAAGCTCACCACACCACTTCAGTACTGCACAGACTGCAAAAGCAGCAAGCGAGTCCACCTCCTGCCACAAATCAAGAAACAAAGGACTAAGCTGGGGGTTCCCCAACGTGGTGCCCATGGGCGGTATATGGTACCTGCTGACACCGTTCTGGTGCCTGCCCAGTGCTTTAGAGAGGGGGACTTTTGCCCAGTAGTGCTTCTGATTAACTGTGCAGATTTTTAGAAATGCACACGGGGTCTTCACTGTGCGACAGTGGGAGCCATTTTATGGCTGGCTCCGCCTCCCGTGGCAGTGCCCACCATGCTGTGTCCGAATCCCAGAACTCAAAAACGTTGGAGACCCCTGGACTAAGCAGCCCTGGGTTTTACAGTATTGCCACAAGAAAACACTGCCTCTTCCTTAAGGAGACCCATCTCTTCTTCCAAGGACTCTGCTGAGAGCGAGTCATTGAAAAAGTGATGGAATTTAGACCCTTCGGTAGAAAAGAAGCCCCCTCCCCTCTTCCTGGGCAGGCTCACAACTGCCCCGTCGGCTGGCCCAAGAGGACTCGCTTACTCGCTTCACAGAAGGTGCCTTCCCAGCCGTCGCTACAAATGCACTTGTAGGAGTTGATGCCGTCAATACACGTGCCGCCGTTCCGACACGGGTTGCTCTCGCAGTCATTGATGTCTGGAACAAAATAAATGACATCGGGTATAAATGAGAGGAGAAGATAAAAGAAAGGTGGTTTTTGCCACAGCAAGCTACTAAGCTTGACTGCCGCTACATGAATAATAAGAACATAACATAAGAGAAACCAATGTTGGACACTGACTTGGACTTCTGGTCCACCTTGACCAATATTGTCTGCTTAAACTATCAGCAGCTCCAAGCAAGGTCTTTCCTAGCCTGGGTATAAGTGGAGATGCCAGTGACTGAACCTGGGAATGTCTGTATGCAAAAAAAAAGAAAAAAGAAAAAGGCACGTGTGCCCTCTTTTTTGGAGCTGTCCCCCAAAGGATATAAAATAAGAGGCTAATAAAAGCAAAAACTTACTCTTGGAATGCTTTAAACATACTTCAAAAGAAGAATCAGAACCCCCCCACCCAATGTAAATTTGCTGTAGACTAACAAAGAGGCCGTTAGTACATAAATTGTTAAAAAGTTAAAATTTATTTTTAAGAGGGTTATGTACGCTCAAGGGCAAGAGCCTCTTTTAAAAAGACCCTCCAGAGCCAAAAGAAATGACATCGGGTATAAATGAGAGGAGAAGATAAAAGAAAGGTGGTTTTTGCCACAGCAAGCTACTAAGCTTGACTGCCGCTACATGAATAATAAGAACATAACATAAGAGAAACCAATGTTGGATCAGGCCAGTGGCCCATCCAGTCCAACACTCTCTGTCACACAGTGGCCAAAAATGCCAGGTGCCATCAGGAGGTCCACCAGTGGGGCCAGGACACTAGAAGCCCTCCCACTCTTGCCCCCCCCCAAGCACCAAGAAGACAGAGCACCACTTGCCCCAGAGTCCCTATCTATACCTTGTGGCTAACAGCCACCGAGGGACCTCTGCTCCATATGCTTATCTAAAGCCGTCCATGCTTGTAGCCACCACCCCCTTCTCCTGAGGCAGTGAATTCCATGTGTTAATCACTCGTTAGGTGAAGAGGGACTTCCTTTTATCCGTTCTAACCCGATCGCTCAGCAATTTCATTGAGTGCCCACGAGTTCTTGTATTGTGAGAAAGGGAGAAAAGTACCTCCCCAGGTAATAATTAATTATCGTATGGCATTGTGCGTAGACTAGCCAGGAGATCCGAAGATTGTCTGGCAGCCGCAAGTTCCAGCTCTTAGTATGCTAGTGGTGAGCTGAACTTGTTTTTAGGGACTGAGAGAGGTCTCAAAAGAATGGTGATTGGCTTAAGGTCACACAGCTGGCTTCAAGTGGAGGAGTGTGGAATCAAAACCCGGTTCTTCAGATTAGAGTCAGCCGCTCTTAACCACTACACCAGACTGGCTTCTCTAGAACTTCACAGGCACGCAAACACATGAAGCCACTGTCACACTGACTTGGACCAATATTGTCTGCTCAAACTATCAGCAGCTCCAAGCAAGGTCTTTCCTAGCCTGGGTATAAGTGGAGATGCCAGGGACTGAACCTGGGAATGTCTGTATGCACAGACACGAAAGCACCATGGCCAATAACTGCCAGAGGAGCTGGATTTTGCTAGCTATGGGATGAACCCTGCACATCTCTTCTGTAAACGGTGCCGAACAGGCAAAAGAAGGTTCCTTGCACTGCAGAATCCAACCTGTCGAAATCCAGCTGTTCCAGAATTCTAGACGCCTCTGCATTTTGCTCTCTTTGTCTAAATCCGGGAAGCTGCTCGTAACGGTACATGATGTATTCCTGCCGCCCGTCCCCACGGCCTCTACTCGAGCCTTAGTTGGATAAGACTCCCCCAAGTCCATTGAATAGGATCCTTGTACTCACCACAGCTTGGCACCAACCCATTCTCCTCCTCGTAGGTCTCGTGACCTTCCCCTCCAGCTACTGGCAGGCATCCTACCACCCCCCTATATGGAACACAGCATTTCCCCCATACTTCTGCAGCCTCTTCAGACACCTACTCAGTTCACAAGACTCTCTAAAGAGCAGCCACCCAAAAAGGCCGCAAGGTCCTGGCCTGAAACACCTTCTCCTCCCCCTCCCCCCCTTCCTGCCTGAAGGGGCAGTTTGGAGAACTCAAAGGTTAGCATGCTGCAGTTTATCAGTTCACTTGGTCTAAACAAAAGGTATCATTGCGCGGCTTGGATCTCTCTCATTGCTCTGTTCCCTCTTCAAGGAAAGGACTCTTCTACACAACGGTATGAGTTTGCTTGTTGTGAGGTGCCACCGGTGCCAGGCATCGCCTCGCTCAGCTTTTGGCAGCCGCATGCCCTCGCCTCTTCTTTCCATACTTGTGTTACTTATAGGAAAACCCCCCACTGAGGCTACCACTCCACAGACCTGGCAACGCGGCTCTCAAGAGTGAAGGGCACGGCATCCCAAACCTCTCTGACCTTGGATCCGGGGGCCTTGCCGCCGCTTCCATTTTGTCCTGCCTGCTGCAGAGTTGGGTCCCTCTCCCATGGGGAACATTATTTTGATGCTAGGCCTTACTGACATGAACACGCACGAAGCTGGGTCTCATACTGAATCAGACCAGTCACCCATCAAGGTTGGTATTGTCTACTCAGACTGGCAACGGCTCTCCAGGGTCTCAGGCTGAGGCCTTTCCCATCACCCACTATCTGATCCTTAACTGGAGATGCCGGGGATTGAACTTGGGACCTTCTGCATGCCAAGCAGATGCCCTGCCATGGAGCCATACTGAAAACATTAATCCCGTATAAGTGCCCAGCACGAGAGAAATACGCTGTACAGAAGAGAACCTCATCTGCAGGGGGAAATGGCACAGTGCAAATGGAAACCAACCTTAAGATCCAAGCCACGACAGATTGTCCTGACTATCTCTTTGTTAACTTTATTGTGGAAGGCTGTTAGAAAGGTCTGAGAAGTCCGGCAGCACCTGAAAGACTTGACAACATTTATTGCAACATGAGGCTTTGTGAATCACAGCTCACACGATGAAGTGAAAGGAGATGAAGTGAGCCGTGACGCATGAAAACTCATCTTGAAATGAACGCCGTTTGTCTTTCAGGTATTGCAGGCATTTGCCTTTGTTTTGCTACAACAGACTAACACAGCTACCTGTTTGCAACCAGAAAGTTCTCAGGCATTCAGTACTCCCGCTAAGTAAGCAGCTGTGAATTCAAGGGCAGGACGAAGTGCCATGCTGAGACACACCTTCGGGGCGCAAGAGCTTTGCCTACAGAGGCTATGTGCACAGAAAGCCACTCACGACCTGCCACAGCTTCAAGCAATACCTTCGTTCTGCTTTCTGCACCATCTCTTCCCAGATCACAAGAGAAGAAGAAGAAGAGATTGGATTTATACCCCACCCTTCACTACCCAAATGTGTCTCAGAGCGGCTTACAATCTCCTTTCCCTTCCCCTCCCCACAACAGACACCCTGTGAGGTAGGTGGGGCTGAGAGAGCTCTGACAGAAATTGCTCTTTTTTTCAAGAACAGCTCTTGTCAAAACTACGGCTTGCCCAAAATCATCCAGCCAGGTGCAAGTGGAGGAGTGGGGGAATCAAGCCCGGTTCTCCCAGATTGGAGTCCGCGCACTTAACCACGACACCAAACTGGCTACACCAAAGAGCCGAGGTCGGCATGCGGCCGCTGCACTCCACAAAGTAAACGACCTGTGCTGCGTAGCAAAACAGGTTCACCGGTGCCGACAGCAAAAATGTACCTTCACAAGGAGTAGAGCGGCAGTGATCCTTCAGGTGTGAACAGTTCTTCCCTTCGTAATCTTCAGGACAATTGCTGCAGAAGTAATCGTTCTCGTAGTTGAAGCACTGGGCCCCATTCTGGCACGGATTGGGTTCGCAATAGTCGATGTCCAGCTGCCAGCGGCAATTCGGGAAGGAAAGCGGAAGACAGAAGAGAGAGAGAGAGAGAGCGCATAAGACAAAGGGGCTTGTTATCAGCGTTCCCTCTAAGCTGAGTTAGTGTGAGCCAACTCACAGTTTTTTAGCCTCCAGCTCACACATCTTTGTCTTCGCTCAGGAAGGAGGGCTCCGGAGCAAGCTAATCTATACAGCAGCCAAATTGCTCGCTCACAACTTTAATGCCAGGAGCTCAAAAAGTAGAATTTTCGCTTACAAGACTCCACAGCTTAGAGGGAGCACTGCTTGTTATTACTCTCTTCTCACCGCTACAAGCAAGATGCCTGAGGGATCAGACATTTTTATCTGCTGCCTCAACTTTTTCTGTACAAGGCACACAATGTTATTCTCACCGACTGCACGTTTTAGAAACAAGGGTTATCAGGCAGGGGTCAGAGATGTAATGTGCGGAGTTGTTTGCACCTTGTTTAAAGGCACACACTCCTGGGAAAAGCACAGCCCCGCTCCCCCCTGCCCACGCCAAAAAGCTGATCTATAGCACCGCTTACTGAACACAGGCTATTCACTACACAGATCCCAAGGAAAGTGCCGCTCGGTGGTCTTATCTGGAGTTTGCCTTTCACCAGCTCTCACCTGACAGACATTTCCTGAGAATCCAGCAAGGCAGAGACATTGGAATCCATTGATCTCGTCTTGGCAGTAACCCCCATTCAAACAAGGGTTACTGGCACATTCATCGATGTCCTTCTCACAGTTGTCCCCTGCGTAGCCAGCTGGGCACACACACCGATAACCATTAACCAAGTCCTAAACACAGAGGAGGATAAAAAGGAATTAGTTAACGCTGACCCCACTAAAAGCGTTCAATAGCTACGCTCACCTTTTTTATAGGGTAGTGTTGATTTAGACCAGCAGCGGCGGGGAGAGGGAGGGAAAGAAAGAAACCTGGATTTTAATTCAATTCCAGCTACACAGCTCACTGTGCGAGAACTCAGTCACCATCTCGGAGCCTCTATTATCTCACAGGGTTCTCGGGAGAACGCAAGTGAAGACGGGCATTTGAGACTTAACTTTACACGCTTCAGAGGTGACGGGTGCGATAGAAGAAGAGCAAATGAAGACAAGAGAATTTATATTCCTTCCCGAAAGCAACACATGGTGCAATCAACTTAGAAATTTTATGTACCCACAAGGTACAGATTTACATAAATAAACTTTCTCAAATTGCTTTCGGAATCCTCCAGAAATGGTAGGAAAAGGACCATTAAATGCCTTTTGCTACTTTCGCAGAGGGGCTGGAGACTGCAATTCGACCCAAGACACACTGAATATTGATGCTGCAATAGAGCTATGTGGGAGGGGGGGGAGAAGACAGACTAACTGCTTGTTTTATCAATGGACAGGCAGCAGTAGCCCAGGGAACGTGGGGGGGGGGGACAGGACGGGACAAAACAATAACTGTGGGACCAATACAGTAAGAGAACTGCATGAAATCTGATCCTTTGGAGGTTGTAATGCAGAAGGACCCAAAAAGATATCTACTGAAGTTGCTTCAGGGACAAAATACTTTGTTCTTGAGCAAGGAAGCTGAATTGGATGGTCGACTGTGCATGCTACAGTGTCATGAATTTCTACAGTGCCCAAGTAGTGTGGATTTCTGCCGTCCGCGTGTGCATGTATATATTAATTTATTTACAGAAAACTTAGCCACATCCCACTTCACTACACGGGGACTTACCCTACAAGTCCCTCCATTCTGACATTTTCCAAGACAGTCATCAATATCTGCAATTTAAAGAAAGAAAATGCACGCACAGTTAGCAATGGCTCACAGAAGCCAACATGCTTCCAAAGCCAAGAGAAAGAACTGGAGTGGCTCCGTAACTTAGTGTAGATAAAAACTTTTGTCAAGTTTCCTGTATGCTTCCCTCCAGATAAGGTTTATTAGAATGGGTGGGAACCTTCGGCCATTCTTCCAACAGAGTTCAGTTGCCGCTTCACATCATTGTTTCAAGACATCTTATCTGAATATAGCCATGTTGCGGACTAATGGCTTTGATAAAGCTGCCCTCTTATTCATGCCAGGCTGACTACTCCCTTTCTAAAAACACCAAACGTTCATTCTCCTTTTCCTCCTCTGTTGCCTAATGCTAAAGGCTAAGCCACAAACTCAGAGAGTGCCGTGATATAAGAACAGCCCTCCTGGATCAGTTCAACAGTCCGACTAGTCCGGCATCCTGCCTCACTCAGTGGCCAAACTGTTCCTCTGGAGGGCCAGCAACAGGGCAGAGAGGCCGAGGCCCTCCAATGATGTTGCATACTGGCCCTGGGATTCAGAGGATTCGTGCCTCCGAATGTGAACATAAGAACATAAGAGAAGCCCACGTTGGGTCAGGCCAATGGCCCATCTAGTCCAACACTCTGTGTCACACAGTGGCCAAAAATACCAGGTGCCATCAGGAGGTCCACTAGTGGGGGCGAGGACACGAGAAGCCCTCCCACTGCTGCCCCCCCCCCGGCACCAAGGGCAAGTGGAGGTTCCCCTCAGTCACCAGGGCAAGTAGCCACTGATGGACGTCTCCTCCATGAATCTATCTGATCCCCTTTTCAAGCTGTTTTTGGCCATCACGACATCCTCTGGCAGCGAATCCCACATTTTAATCCCTCTCTGTGTAAAGGAGTATTTCCTTTTCGAAGGTTAATAGGCACGCCGGCCGACTTCAGATGCCAACTTGAAAACATGGTTTCAATTTTACAACTAGGGTCAGTTTCTGAAACCAGGATTCAGATTGCAAAACGATCACACTGATCTGGGCTTCATGAGTCACGGAGGCGGGGCGTGCACGCTGGCACAAGGTGAGAGAGAAGTTCCAATTCTGAACTCAGTACCTCCGGGGTTGTACAAGGCCCCCGGTACCTATGGCTAACACCATGGCTCCAGCAATGCCTGTTTTCTCTGGGACAGCTGAACTGAGACATTCTGCCCTGTGGACCCCCAAAGCCAGAAGAAGTGTGCACAGAGACGCATGCTTACTTATCTCACAGTTCTGGCCAGTCCAGCCAGCAATGCAGTCGCAATAGTAGCTGCCAATCAAGTTCCTGCAGGAGTTGGCATTGAGACACGGCTTCCCCTCACATTCATTGGCATCTGGAGAGAGAAGAAGAATCGGCAGCACGTTAAGTGGCAGTTACCGAAAAGGGAAATATGTGTGTACACACAAAACACACTTCGCACAGCAAGAACTACAAGTTCATTAAAGGCTAATGGATTGTTTAAAATGTACAGAGTGGATTAAAACAAGGACTTTAAAAGAATCAGAGGGAATGCTGTTAAAGCAGAGAACCTTCTGATATCACCCTCTAATTACGGTGCGCTGGCAGCCCTGAGTTACGAGCCACTAATTAAGGGAGAAACAAGGAAAGGGGGGGGGGACGGAACAGGAGCCAGGGACTTGGGGATTTCAAAGTAGCATCCCTGGCCACTCTGGTTAATACCCTGCCCCGAGATTGTAGGCTGCTCGTTCTTCAAGAGATCATTTTGCAACTCACGGGTAAACTCCCCAGACTGAAGGGGTTACCAGGCCTGGGGAAATGGAACACTGCTTTCCCACAAAGCTGAAAAGAAGGAAAAGGGGGTGGGGGAGAGGCCACCCACAGACAGACAATGGCTTAAGAAGTGTTGCCATTAGGATTAGAAGTCCTCGCCACAATGGAAGAGGAAACCGCTTCAAATTTGAGGGGGCCATTTCCCATTACACCGTTGGGACGGGGAGGCAAAGGCCCGCGCCAGAGGTTACTCCGATGTGCAGAAACAGAGACCCCGGCACAGTGGTGCCCGTGCCAGACGAGGCTCTCGGAAACCCCGGTTCCAATCCCCACTCTGCTATGAAGTGTGTTGGGTGACCTTGCTCAGCCTGACGCACCCCAGGGGGCTGTTGTGAGGCAGCCAGAACGGGCAAAGAGAGACCCCCTCAAGACCTCGCCTCCCCTGGTGGTCCCAAGAGAAGTAGGGAGCTTCTTCAAAGCCCAGGCGGCCATTTCTCTGCACAGCACAGCCCTTTTGGGGCGGGGGGGACCTGGCGTGGTACCGGCTCCTTCCCCAGGTGCAGCCACTACTGCCAGGAAGCCTCTTTTCTCATTGCAGCCACTGAAGGAAAACAGTCCGCCACAATCACGGGAAGGGGTTTCCGAAGACCACGGCTGCAGTCTGCTTCGCCAGTGACAGTCAGGCTCCCACCCCCGAGATATTTGCATGCACGGATCCCCCAAATACATATACATTACAAGCACTGACCTGACTTAAAAACATACTAAAAATTACATCACTACCCCCCTTTTTAATGCTCAAGGCTTCATTCTTATTCCAGACAGTCCATTTTCTGCAGGGAGCAACCAATACTCCCTTCTAAGCGGTGGAGTCTCGTGAGCAAAGATTCTACTTTGTGAGCTACTGCCGTGAAAGTTGTGAGCGAGCGATTTGGCTGCTGCCTAAATGTTTGCTCTGGAGCCCTCCTTCCTGAGCTGAGACAAAAATGTGTGAGCCGGAGGCTAAAAAACTGTGAGCTGGCTCACACTCACTCAGCTTAGAGGGAACACTGGTAGCAACTATCTCCCGCAAATCACTCCTATACATCAGAACCACCCTGTAGCATGCAGCAGGGGAGACGCCACCCCTATTTTGCCACTCCACTGAGAGAAGTCTGAAGCCCCCCTTCAGTTGTAAGAAGATTTCACTTAAGTGGCTCTTCTGTTGGAGGAGGAGCCACTTAAGTTGGAGGAAGAGTCCCTGGGAAATGGTTGGATCCACCCCACTGAGTACAGGAGTGTGGGGAAAGTTACTATGGTTGACACCCACTGATAGCCATATTCTCGAGATGGATCAGCATGCCGATGGACCTTACAGCATAACAGCTGCAGCAGATACCTACGCAAATGGGCTGCAATATCTACGGGTAACTGCAGTGGTCACCAATGTGGTGCCTGTCAGTGTCTTTCCTGGCACCCACTCGCTTCTTGGCTGGGAACCGGGCGTTTTATGATTGGTTCCAAACCTCACAGCGGCCACACTGGGACTGACCCCACGACTGCCACTTCGTCATGGCACCCATTACCCAGTCTCCAAATTCCAGTCCTGTGACGGGTCGTTCCTTTAGGATTAATTCAGGGCTGCCTACAACCTCAAGAAGGTTAGGGACCCATGGCTTAGGTTTCAAAACTTCTTTTCAGGGCAGGATCGTCAAGGGCTGAAGACAACCCAATGCCGATGAACCCGACTTGCAAGACTGGCTGTAGCTGCCCATTCAGTACAGACCAGAACGGAGTAAACACAAGCCATGACAGGAGTGTCCAGAGTCAGACCCTCTCAGCAAATTCAACAACAGCTTGTTTTCTGTTCCGTCAATCTACGGTCTACCACTTCCCTATCTGACACGTTTTGCCAGTCCACTGAGGTGGGCATATACACTTAAAGCCATCGACTAGATCCTGGCAAGTCCCTCCGTGGCCACAGGGGTTAGGGGAACAGTCATCAATATCTACCAAGAGAGATTTTGCTTTAGCACACATGCCCAACATCTAGTAGCAAGATTAGCAATCACGGGATAACTTCTGGCAAGAGCCAGCCAGTTATATAAGAAATCCAGCTTTTATAAATAATTGGCGCCCCCTTCTTCATTTGGCTTCCTGCAGTCACTGATGGTGGCTCACACAAATTGAAATTATTATTATTATTATTAATAATAATAGTAATAATAACTTGGAACGCATGCATGCACTGTGATTATTTCCAAGTGCTGCCAAGCATTCCCAGTGTTCACATGGGTAGGACTTTCACGCAAGTGAGCAGCCTTAGTAGAAAACCACACACACACACACCCAAGCCCATTCCACGTGGTTGCCACAGAGCAAAGAATGGCCAATTATTCCCTGTGAGACAGGGCTCAGGGAGGCATACAGCAGAAACAGAATTCACACATTATTTCATTGTTAAAAGCAATAAATACATTAATTAAAAATAATAAATACAACAGTAAACTAAATTAGATGGCCTACTGAGGGTGCCCACTGAAAATACTCTTGGACAAAGACAGTCATAGAACAGAGCAAGAGTCTGGGAGCACCTGAAAGACTAACACAATCTGTGGCAGGGGAGGAGCTTCCGTGAGTCACGGCTCACTTCTTCAGATACAGCTAGAATGTGAGTCCATCTGCCCTTATATCTTGGAGAGTGAGGTGATTTCATATCTGAGATATAAGGACACATGGACTCACGTTCTAACTGTATCTGAAGAAGTGAGCCGTGACTCACCAAAGCTCCTCCCTGCCCAGAAATTGTGCTAGTCTTTCAGGTGCTGCTGGACTTGCTCTTTTCTCCTGCTACAGACAGACTATCTGAAGAAGTGAGCCGTGACTCACGGAAGCTCCTCCCCTGCCACAAATTGTATTAATCTTTCAGGTGCTCCCGGACGCCTGCTCTTTTCTGCTGCTACAGACAGACTATCTGAAGAAGTGAGCACTGAAAGCTCCTCCCCGGCCACAATTTTTGTTAGCCTTTCAGGTGCTGCCGGACTCCTGCTCTTTTCTCCTTCTACAGACAGACTAACCCGGCTACCCAACTAGACCTAATAAGAGTCATGTCTGACTTCCTGCAACATCAGCCTCCATAAGAGTCATGTCTGACTTCCTGCAACATCCGCCTCCATGACGGGCCAGCTCCCCTAACTCGCTCTGGCATCGGACAGTGGGCAGCACAAGAACTTCCACAAGCACCTAGTCTACACGTCAGCTGGATTGTCCTTGAAGGACACCGTTTCAGTGGCCTCTTTTCATTGCCAACAAGAGACTGCTGCCAACACTGGGCTCTGCCGTACATATTCAAGCTTGGCTGTGAACCTGCTATCTCACTGGGCAAGGTGTTTGGTTTTTTTTAATCCCAGCTTTAGTTTCTTATCTGTTCAGCATCTATACAGATAAAGGCACTAGCAATCTAACCTGAGCCAACTACAAGAATAATTAAGAGACTGGAGCCTTCCCCCTCTCTTGTTTTAAGTGCCATACACTTCATAATTACTGATTACAGGGGTGAGATGCTGGCGTACAAGCCAGAAAGAATCCAGAGATGCTGGCATACAATCCAGAAAGAATACAGAGATGCTGGCGCACAATCCAGAAAGAATACAGAGATGCTGGTGCACAATCCAGAAAGAATACAGAGATGCTGGCGCACAATCCAGAAAGAATACAGAAAGCGAAGGCATTCTTGGCTTCACCTGGATACCCTAAGCACAATTAAAGGGGAAAGACGCCTTCGGACAGCAGCAAGCATCCTGAGCCACTCAGATTCACACGGCGCTCAAGAGGTTCTCCCGAGTGACGTTTAAAGCTTTCATAAACTGGACATTCCAGCGGACTTACTAAGGGTGCATGTTGGTGCTGCCCACCCTGGAGCACAGAGACACTCAAATCCCGTAGAAGTTTCAAAGCAGCTCCCTCCATTGTGGCAAGGATCCGAGAGGCAGGCATGTTCCGCTGCGGCAAGAACAGAACCCACTTCAGCTTAGTCGAGGCCAGCAGTACGAGCAACCACCTCCTCACCTGCTTGAGACTCCCCTTCTCTCTCAGCCCAACTCCCGGCTTGGATGCTGCGCTGGAGTTCCGCCGCGTCAAATACAGCGGCAGCCCTACGTGGTCTGGGACCGTCATACCTACAGGATCACCTCTCTCCTGTTACAACCCCTCACACGTTCCCCTCGGTCATTGTCTAGGGGGACTCTTGTCAGCGCCTGGCTCACTTAGCTGCCACCAGGGGCAGGGCCTTCTCAGTTGAGGCCCCTCCCCCTGTGGAAGGCCCTCTCGGACGACACCCGAACCCTGCCGGATTTGCTTAGTTTCTGCAGGCCATGCAAAATTGTTTAGGTTGGCCTTTGGAGGCTAAACAACCACATGTATGGGCTGTTTTGATGGTGGTATGGTGATTGCCACGTATATTTTAATATTCTAATGTTCATATTTTATATTAGTTATTTGTTTTTTTTAATGTGGTTTTTTAACCTGGGGTTTTAAGTTGCCACGAGACCCTTTGGGCGAGCGGCAACTAAAAAAATTCTAATCAATCAATCAATAAGCAGTGCCTAGCTTAAACGCCGGAAAACAGCAAAAGAAGGCAATGCCACTGGGTCAGCTCACGAGCTGTAACCACTTCCAGCTCTGTTAAGTCGGAGCTGCCCCTGACTGTATTATCCACCCCACCCTGGGCACCAACTTCAAGAGGTAAAACAGTCCTCTGGAGATTAACACAGGTGCTTCTATAACCAACTAAGGTAAAGGTAAAGGTTCCCTTGCTCGAAAGCCAGTCGAATCCGACTCTAGGGTTGCGGTGCTCATCTCCGTTTCAGAGCCGAAGAGCCAGCACTGTCCGAAGACATTTCCGTGGTCATGTGGCCGGCATGACTAATCACCAAGGCGCATGGAACGCTGTTACCTTCCCACCAAAGTGGTACCTATTTATCTACTTGCAATCTCTTGCTTTCGAACTGCTAGGTTGGCAGGAGCTGGAACTAGAGACGGGAGCTCACTCCGTCATGCGGCACACTCGGGATATGGAAGCCGCGTCCAAAAGCCCACACCAAACTCATCCCCCACCCCCGACAAGCCAGCCACTAAAGAACCTTCTGAGGCTTTCTTCCTCTGTCCCAATGTAGTGGAAGCCTCCAAGCAGGAGGCGACTGCTACTTCATTTCTCTTAGAAAGATATCGTGGCCACCTTCCACCCATCGTCTCACGTTATGCCCAGCATGTTCCAGGGCATGCAGACAGCAAGAAGTGCGCCACTGAGTACACTCCTACCGATTTCGCAGTTCTGTCCTGAGTAGCCCTCTGGGCAGGAACACTGGTATTTGTCAGGGCCGGTGTTGCTGCAGGTGCCGCCGTTCAAACACGGTGGGTGAGTCCCACAATAGTTCAGATCTGGAAGGCAACAACGCACAGTCAGGAATAAGCAAAAAGAGAAGTAAACGTCACGTACGCTCCCATGCACAGAGCAATGAACCACCTGCGGACTTGCCACCGAGTCAGGGACGTGAACCCCAAGCACAAAGAACAGGCCGTTCCCTGGTTGGGTTGCCTCCCCACCGCCCCGACCTCCCTCGTGTTTACCATCCCTCAGAGCCTGACACTTGGGCTCCCTGCTGGCTCCTGCATACCTTTATTGCAGAACTGGCCACCCCAGTTGGTCTCACAGAGGCACTGCCACGGTTCGTTGCAAGTGCCATGGACACAGCCCGGGTGAGGAATGCACTTATCGCAGTACTGGCCTTGCCATCCGTACTGACACCTGCAAAGAAGCAGAGCTTGGAGTTATTTCCTCCAAAAGCTTTTTTTTTTCCAGAAAGGCATTGGTAAAACTTTTGAGATCCACAGTTCTTGTTCCTTTTCTTTAAAAAGCCCTTCAAGGACTATTTGGTGGTTTCTTGTAAACAAACAGTGTTGGCTGCTCCACCACGGCCTCCAAAAGAGGCAGCTGTTGTACAAAAGAATAACTGTTCTGGGAGCCCCAGTGTGATTCCATTGAAGACAATGATAAGCTATTCTGAAGCTCATGGAAATGGGAGAGAGGGAGGGGGGCACACTACGGATAAATCTGGGGGGCTTTGACAAATGGATTATAAGGGGCGGGAGAACAGGGCAGGAGTCAGGAGTAACAATGATCCTCATGAATACAAGACTTCAGGACTCTTCAGAAGAAACACAAACAAACCAGGAGGCGTCAGCAGCCAGCTAAGCGGCGTTCCCCTTGCACGTTACTAGAACACTGCTTGCTTCTGAGCAAGAGGGGTCATGTGTTGAAGTTAAAAGGATGCGAGATATTAATCTGCCGCAGCAGTCACAGGATAGCTGAACCGTGCTGACGTTTCCATTTTGATAAAACTGGAAAGTGTGCACGTGGCCGCATGAGTCGCTATTGGCTCAGAACGGATTTCAAGACAGCGCCGGTCTTCTCCAGATGTGCTCCAGCCGCAATGAATGCAAGACCCGAGGTGATTTTTATCTCGGAACGCTGGCTCGAACGCCTCTCCCTCCGTTTTAAAGATTCGTTCAGCGTAAGACAAAGCGAGAAAAAGCTGGAGATCAAATGCGTTCCAGAGGCGGCTGTTTTATTTTAAAAAATGTAATATTTGGAAAGGGGAGGAAAAGGAAGCAGGTTGATAGCGTGAAACCAGGGGGTTAACCAAAAGCCCATTTCATTACTGAGACCTGGGAACAAGAGATCAGCAACCATTATCCACTAATCCTAGCCTGAGTTGCCATAATAAACATTTCCCACCCGAACTCAGTTAGGCCTTTGATTTTTTTTGTGTGTGAAAGACAGCTCCTTTCTGACCAGCAAATCCTTGTCATGGGAAAAGTGATAGCGATCTGTCCAAGGGCTAACCGCCCACAGCAAGCAGAAAGTCTTAACTCTCCATCTAAGAAACCTTGGATGACTAACCACTACCCTAATTAATGATTATTATTATTATTATTATCATTATTTTTAAAGAACAGTGCTTGGAATCTTTGCGGTTCAGAGCCTTGGGGTGTTCTGATGCACCCAACAGTCACGGAGCAGGGCACCGGAGAACGGCTCCTTCTTGATACGAGCCACGGAAGGCTCAGAGATCAGACTCCACTGGTCCTGCAAGCCTCCCGCTGTAACTCCGCATGCATTAAGTGACTCCCAAACAGAAGCTTACAGAATAGACAGAGGGTGGACTGGCGGCCCTTGAGGCCCTGATGCTGCACAGAGAACAGGGGGCAAAGAAACTTCACACACACCCCCAGCCTGATTTCAGTAAAGTGCCAGCCACCTAGCTTTACTTTTTGAAGGACAGGTGAGGCCTAACACATTCAAAAAGTACACAAGGACCCATTTCAGCAAAAGAACTCATTGTCTTCCCGCATTCACAAACACAGACAGCCAGTGTTCCCTCTAAGCTGAGCCAGTGTGAGCAAGCTCAGTTTTTTAGCCTCCGGCTCACACATTTTTGTCCTAGCTCAGGAAAGATGGTGCTCCAGAGCAAACTGATTTATGCAGCAGCCAAATCACTCACTCACAACTTGAATGCCAGTAGCTCAGAAAGTAGAAATTTTTGCTCACAGGACTCCACAGCTTAGAGGGAGCACTGCAGACAGCCACATTTCCCTTGTGCAACAAACGGATCCCCCTGCCTTGTGGCATTATCTGAATGCTCTGCGTTGCTTTCAGCTTTGAAGAGGGGATACGTACAAACCTAAAAAGGGGGGGGGAGCAGAGGGATACATCCACGCACCACACATCGGCTGGTGTTTTCTTTTTAAAACTCCGCTGATCTGCGAGTTGACAGACAGTGACTCCCCCTGATTCAAACGGGGAGGAAGGGAATTGTACGACCCTCTTTCTTTGTTTGAATCCAAGGAGACCGCTGAGGTTGGGGGTATCAGGAAGGGCAGGTTGACTGGCTGGTGGAGTTTCTCTGCAGGGGAAGTGTGGGAAAGTTGCACCTTAAGTAAATAAGGGCCCCGAGTGCATGTCTGGGCAGCGAATGGGAGGCGAGAGAGGAGCGAGGCTTCGGCTCTGGAAACAAAGCCTGTTGTTCTGGCTGGGAAAGAATGCGGGCAAACCCTGGAAGGCACTCTGAGCCGAATGACAGAAACACAAATCTCCAGTGAGCGCTCGCTCACACACCCCTCTTGGGATCCAGCCCAGCTGAAAATGGCTCGATTCAGTCTGAGGCTCTGCACAGACAAGATCCAGACACGATCCTGATCCCTGTTTGGAAGAGTCAGGGGGGTTTTCCTCTCTCTCTCCAGGGGCTGCTTCACAGAGTCTGTGTTTATGGTTCTGGTTTATTTTGGCCCCAGAGTTGCAGCTGACTTACGGTGACTCTGTAGGGGGGTTTTCAAGGTAAGAGATGCCCAGAGGTGGTTTTAGCCATTGCCTGCCTCTGTGTAGCGATGCTGGATTTCCTAGGGAGGGGTCTCCCCTCCAAGGACTAACCAGGGCCGACCCTGCTTAGCTTCCGAGATCTAATGAGAAGTACTTTTCTCCCTTTCTCACAATACGAGAACTCCTTGTGGGCACTCTGTGAAATCACTGAGCAGTGAGCACTGAGCAAACACATGGAATTCACTGCCGCAGGAGGGAGTGGTGGCGGCTATGAGCATGGACGGCTTCAAGAGGGAACTGGATAAGCACATGGAGCAGAGGTCCATCAGTGGCTCTTAGCCACAAGGTATAGATGGGAACTTTCAGTCTGGGGCAAGGGATGCTTGGTGCTGGGGGGGGGGGCAACAGTGGGAGGGCTCCTAGTGTCCTGGCCCCACTGGTGGACCTCCTGATGGCACCTGGTGTTTTTGGCCACCGTGTGACACAGAGTGTTGGACTGGATGGGCCTTTGGCCTGATCCAACACTGGCTTCTCTTATGTTCTTATGACTGAACCAGCCTGGGCTATCCTTTAGGTGTTCTCAGAGATAATCGCACATCTTGCACTTTTACGTGTAGGATCCATTCACTTCATTTATGCCTCACTTTCCTCCCAAATAGGGACTGGGCAGGAACCAAGAGATTCTCTTCTGCTGATATTTGGCAGATGGTGGGGAAGTTAACCACTGGAAATGAAGCACACCGACATTCATGTACCCATCCCTGTCTGGCATCAATTATGCGTCAGCAGGTTGGCTTCAGCTTCTTTCAGCCCACAAGACTGGGGGCGCACTGCTTTGTTGGAGGAGACCCCAAAAACACGTTATTGGAGTCACCAGCCCCAAAGACAGCCCATAATAAAACAATCACCTGGAGTCCAAGGCACGTGCACCCCAACATCCAGCAGTTTCCCTCCACCAAACAAGACTGAAAAACCTGCTCTTTAATATTAGAAATAATGTGCAATAGTCTTTGGCTCTTTCCAAAACAAAAACCCTCCGACTGTTTGGCTGCAGGTACTCCCCCCCCCGCCTCATCTACTGGCCAGAACAGAAGAAACTTCAAAGAGCGCTCTCGGCCTTCATCACTATCTACAGCCCAGATTCCAGGCCAGCCATTAAGTTCTCATCACTCCAAGGTCTGGCTCCCAGCAGCAGAAGAAT